GTCGACTGTTGGTGGCCATATGGCACAATTAACAGAATGAAATTCCCCACAACAAGCCGCAATTGCGTTGAGACTGGGTGGTCGAGATAATGAGTGTTCGTTCACACTCAGCGCAATTTGTTCTGAAGTCGAAAATCGTGCTGTTGCATTGGAAAGACATCAAAATTGACATGGTACCATAATGGCCTCTTGAAGACGGATTTTCTCAAGATTAGATCTAAACGAAACTAACAAAAAACTGAAAATTTAAAAAAAAGTGACTTAAAATTAAACAACAGTGACTTCTGACTCCTTAATATAACAGTGCACCCTTAAAAGATTCTGAACCACCATTATTTTTTTTTTCAAATTCCTAGTCAAGTGGTTCAGAGGTTTGTTTGTATAGTATGGGGTTTTACGGCGCTCGCAACTGCATAAGGTCATATGAGCGCGCGAAACAAGTTGGGTTTTTTTCTCAAAGGGACACTGCTCGGTCTGATTCTGGTCAAAAATTCTAATTAAAATGATTAAAACGCTAAAAAATCAAGTGTAAATAGATTTTAAGCTCAGAGGTTTAAGGAAACCAAAGTGACGAACTTTCGCAAAAATATAATATAAACACTGCTGTTTTAGAGTGCAGGTGGTTGGAGTTTCCCTCTGATCAGTTCTACTTCTTTACTTTCCCTCTGTTGTATCTTTCTGTCTGTCCGACTGTCTTACTGGAGGGGGGGGGGGGATTTGGGTGTCCTCTCCACCTCCAAAAAAGCATTAAATGGCCATCGTTGTGTCAATGTGCGTCTATTTCTTCTTATAAATTTTAATTATCTGGGAAGGTCATCAACACATCGAATGAAGCAACGAGTCGGACATTAAACGATTCCACTTCGGCAAAACTGTACCGGGGTGGACAACCTTAAGCCAAGACGTACAATACTTTACAAAAGGGGAGACCGACCACATGGCGCAAGCTACCCATGCATTTCAACAGACGATTAATAAGACCTGGTGAAGTTTACGTTGTGAGACAAATTAAGAGATATCGATGGTAAGCTGCAGAGGAGGAGGAGGAGGAGGAG